GGGGGGGGGTGTCGGACTAGATCATCTGTTCAGGTCCCTTCAGACTCCAAACTACTATGAAACTATGAAACGTCCTGGATACAGAAAATTATAGACTAAATATAGACATCTGATTTATGGCACTTTATAACCTGCCTAACATCTGATACCCCAGGTAACCTCTCTACTATTTACCAGCTACATCTTATCATCAGGTAACCATTCCCTTCCCTTCCCCAACCTGTTTCTTACCCACTGACTGCCTCAATTTGCTTTTTCACTTCAGGGCATGCTTGCATACTGGCCTCTGGCTTCTATTCTGTTCCATCCAGGAAGAGCACAGAACTACTGCAGATACTCCCTTAGCCTAAAGAATGGTGTTGTGCCCAAAAGCTTCCAAAGAAGAATTTTCCCAACTATTTTAGTTGGTTTAATAAAAGATAACGCGTTTACCTAAAGAACCTTGTCCGCCTATGTCCTTAGACTAACATGGCTACAACCTATATCCCCTACTGCAATATACTACATTTTAAAAGGTAGCTGGAGTCATTGACTTTCACTGGAACTTCAACTCCGTTAATGAAAGAGTTAGGCTGAAATTTAATCTATATGAAGCCAAGATATTCATAATTTTGCTTTTATACCTATATTAACTTACCCAAGTTGTGTATAATTGCTTGCTGATTTGGCTAGTTTTGTCATTGACCTTGAATACGTCTCCTCTATTGTAGACCTGTTAAAAACAAACATGCTCAGACAGTTTCTAATGTTCAGCAACCGGTTCACAATCAATAAGGTTATTAGGTTAGGTAAATGTATATTCTAAACAGACTCAGTCAAGGAAATTCAGTTTGCCCTTCTGTTAAATTTAAAATTTTGCTTCAATTTAAATTTCAACACATAAGTAACCCCATTGTGATATAATATAGGGACCTACCGAATTTATGGCAGAACTGGACTGCACGGCAGCTCCTTTAATCTTATAGGTTCCCCCACACACCCTACCCACCATTCCTAATTGGCTGAGGGGTCCCGACAGCTCTGTTAATTGTTGCTGACCTGCTGGGAGGCAAAAACAGTGCCATATTTAAAGCTGTAGTTTTCGAATCCCAGCAAATAAAGGGGCAAATGGAGAAGCCCCTCCAATGAGGCACACGGGGGGACCCTGAAAGATTAAAAGAGCCATCACACAGCTCACTTCCACCGTGAATTTGGTAGGTCTCTAGAAATGATCATAAAGTCTATAGGACTATTCAAAGTGTTTGAAGTTAAACAAATGTATAAGCCTTTATTGAACTGAGGTCAAAAGGATAAAATGCCTTTACTGCACAATTAATTGATACGTACCGCAGGGAAGATACAAGATAAACAGATAATTTTGTCAAGAGAATTAAGAATGGAACAGATACAATATACTTTTTTCTACCAAAATAATTGCCTAATTCTCACCTGAAGAATGAATGACCAACCAATTTGCTAGATATTTTACACTTATTTAAAACATCAATTACAAATTTATTTGACAGTTTGTAAAAGTGGCATCAGTGAAATATCAGCAAGATTCTATCATACATACAGCTATGAACACAACAAGCACAGTTGCATACACTATTTGTAACTGAGCCCAGTAACTGGGCTTTGAAAAACACTGCAGAACTTTTCATTTAAATGTTACAAAGAAGGTTTAAAAACTACTAATTGAAGGGTGGATAAGAGCCAAACATATGACCACTGCGCTTTAATGATTGAGAACAGCCCTATTTTATTATATCCATTTTATATATAGATATTCTGTTACTGAATGATTAAGTGAGTTGGTTAAGGTCAAATCTGTAACTAGTCAATGTAAAAATGTGTCTTCTACCCTGTCATTCAGTCATTTGACCAACACTTTGTAAGCCCCACTTTAAAATGTTCTCTCTCCAGAGTTTGATAGGATTTTAAGAACACTTAAGTATTTTCCCAGAATTCTTCAGATAAAATCATACACATTCAGGACAAGGTATACACATACATAGTTACAAACTGCAATCTGAACTGAATTAACAGAAGACATACTCCTCAGCTGACATATCTTTATCTTAACCCTAATGTCAGTTGACATTAGACCACTAATACTCCCTTAGGTCCTACAGGTTTTCAGAGTAGTTTCTGCTATAATTCATCTTTTGGATATGCACCTGGTCCATGGGGCTCCTGGAGGGAGCAGGATGAGAGGGGTGAGACCACTGCCAAATTCTAGTTTACAGAATCCCACTGGGGATGCATGCTGGTGACAGAGGGGCAAGCAATGTGTGCATTAATCCTTGCAACAGTCAATACTTCTGCTTGCCTCACCTCTAGGGATATATCCAGATGTGGTCTGCAAGGACCCCTGCAACCCAGATCTGGCTTACAAGGATTCTTGCAGCCCTGATCTGGCCCAGGACCTAAAGGAATTTGATACCCTTGTTATAGGCAACAGTCATCATAATTTTTCTAGAAGCAGCACTATTTCTACTGTCTAAGAAAAGAAATGCCTACTCTTCTATGAACAAAGTAAAAAATAGGGTCAACTTCAGTTGCCAAATATTTATTAATTTTGGTCTTTTTAACTCACTGAAGTAAAACTGTACCAGCCAATTCAAACTTCAAAAATAGAAATCATCTAAATACTTAATGCTCAAGGCACTGTTTATTTTCAAGGGAACACTGGAACTCTAGATATCCTTGAAAGAGTAAAAAACATAGTAATGCTTATGAACTGCAGAAAAAAAATACATACCTACAATGTACAATCTGAAACTTTCAAAAACAAATGCATGAGTGTGCTAAGATTCAGGACTAGCAAAGATAAACACTTACCTTTCTCTTATAAAATCTGCTAGCTCTTTTGTTGATGTATGTCCATGCTTCATGTTGTGATAGAGGACATCAAAGCCATTGTTTCTTTCCCCCTGAGATAAATAAAAAGGCTTCATTAAAAAAAATGAGAAGTACAACTTGTTAAAGTGGTGTAAAGCCAAGTATTTTCCTATGCATTTTAACAATAGATCAAATGTCATTCTCACTGAACAAAGTAGTCATTCCTGGTACCTTAACTACCCCTTCCCCAATGCCACTATAAATGCCCTTTTATCTGAGCCAATTAAAAGTTATTCTAATAATGCTTTTCGACACATCTATATTCTCTTCCATGGGCTTCTGCATCACTGCCTTCCCTTAATGGTCACATGGCTGTTCCTTTAGTGCTTTCTTTCCCCATCTCTCCACCTCTGAAGATGTCCCAAAAACGTGCGTGTCCTTACTCCCCTCCTCTTTTCTCCATGCTTATTCCCTAAATGATGTAACCCAACACAAGCCAACATTTTTGGCAGGTGTGCCACAAATTAGCCACTCAACCTCCCTGAGTGCCCATTCCAATCCCTGTCCCCCTACCTTATCTGCTGTTCTGCTTTCTGCTCCCTACTTGACCCACAGTTCTACTTTTTGCTCCTTGCCCTATCTGCCACTGTGCTCCCCCTTTTCCTCCCCAATCTATGGCATACTACACAGATGCTGACCATGCCACCTGTGGCACCCCTACTTAATATATCCCCACTGTTTTAGAGAGATGACAAGTCTCTCTCCCCAATCCAATGTCTTCCGTTTTGTTCAGGCTCATCTCTCCTTCAGCCTTTCCAATGTTACCTCGTGTCTACATCAAAAACACAAAGCTCAAAACACTAAGATTTCCTTCTACACTATTTATCTGTACCCTCATCTCCATCAACACTGACACAGCTTTGTTATCCTCATAAGTCACTCAGACACAAACTTTAGGCTTATCCGACTCTTCCTATTCCTTTTATCCTTATATCCAGACTCTTTTCACATACATATTTAGTAGGCCTGTGCGAGTCGGCAGCGATCCAATTTGGCTTTGGATCCGGCTGCTTCGGATGGCCGTGATCCGATCCGGAGCTCTGGACTCGGTTTCCACCTTGATCCGGCTGAAGTGGCTCTGAAGCTTTGGAGCCACCTCGCAGATCTGGCCATAGGGTATAATGAGGACTCAATGAAATATCTATAACTTTGTTATTTTTTTGTCCTATTTTGATGCAACTTGCAGGGATCGTAGCCTCTGCTGAAAGCATGAAAGCTGCCAAGTTTCAAGAAGATCGGTGCAGGTCTTTGGGAGGAACTGTACCCCAAATTCTTGAAAGCAAAACTCCTGTCATGCCTACGTGTTACAACACAGGGGGGTCAAAACTGCAGGGGTGGTAGCTCTTACTGAGGACACAAAGCCTGCCAAGTTTCAAGGAGATCAGTGCAGGGGTTTGGGGGGAACTGCACCTCAAGCTGCAGGACAAGCAAAACTCGTACGATGGATGACCCTGCATGTGTTAAGGCGTTGTGGGGTGACAGCTGCAGGGATGGTGGCCCCTGCTGTGATGCCTGCCAGCTGTCGACGAGATCGGTGCAGGGGGTTCTGGGGCCCTGCACCCCAAGGTGCTGACAGGCAAAACTGTGCCAAGACTGTGTCAGTCTTGGGGAAGTTGATTGTCTGTATTGATTCTTTCCTCTCCTTAGCCTGGTTTTGTAGGTGCTAATTGATGCTCGGTAAGTTGTTATGTAGTAGCTAGGTTCTGTGTACTGAGCTGGACCCTGAGCGAATCATGATTGATTAACTGGTAACTGGGAACACAGCAGCTTAGCAGCCAGACCTGCAGCAGTGTCTCCCCTCCCCACCCCAGGACAGACAGACAGTCCCACAGCACCAGTTCTGCTTGTCTGCAGCTTGAGTGGCAGTTTCCCCCAAACCCCTGCACCGATCTTCTTGAAACTTGGCAGGCGTTGTGGCCTCAGTAAGAGCTACCAGCCCTGCAGTTTTGGCTCCCCTGTGTTGTAACACATAGATGTGACAGGAGTTTTGCTTTCAAGAATTTGAGGTACAGTTGCCCCCAAACCCCTGTATCTATTTTCTTGAAACTGGGCAGGCTTTATCCTCTCTGCAGAGTCTACAACCCCTGAAAATTTCATCCACATCAGACAAAAAACAACAAAGTTACTAGATATTTTATTGTTTCCCCATTATACCCTATGGCTGGATATCCAAGGTGGCTCCAAAGCTCTTTGGGAGCTCCGAACTGCTTCAGGAAGCCGAACGAGGCCAGCACTTCAACCTGGATGTGCTGCTTTGGACCCCGAAGTGTCCGAAGCTTCTTCGGATCCAAAGCTCTGCCTGAAGCCTCGCACAGCCCTAATATTTAGCATTGGGCAAAACTAATAACAACACAGGTATCTACCAACCCTTCCCTATCCACTCTTTTTGTCTGTTATTATTTACAAGATGCAAATTAGAGCACTAGCTTGCTTATCTTCCTAATGTACCAAACTTTTTGAGAAGGAATTACCATGTATCCATAAATTGCCATGCTCATTCCAAACAAAATTAACAGCATTAATTTTACAATGTACTTTTCAGGTAACAATTTATCATAGATTCAAAAAAATATGAATATGAAGTTCAATGAGTAGCAGACTGATTTAGAAGAGCTGTAGAGCTATATCTAATGTAAACCTGACCAAATATGTCCATGGAATAACTTATGCACCATTAAATACAATGATAGAGCATGTTTTTATAAATTTAACATCTAAAGAGTGCTGGGGAAAAAATGTTCTTGAAATCATAGGTTAGACAGGAGGGATAGCAAAACAGGGAAATGTTAGCTAGTCTTCATACTTCAGTTGCTTGGCCTTCTTATTTCACATGGCTGATATAGATACAGAACACCAACTATAATTTAACATATTTAGGTGGCTAAACCAGACAACTGCATCAGGAGCAACGGAGTGCATTGCTGTGATACCTCCTTCATATCTGCGGATCGGGCACTGAGTTGTTATATGTTCCATGGTCTGTTCTGGGTGACTAGAGTCACACAGTGGAGAGTTTTTAATTTCACATTTGTTCATCAAGTATCCACATGTGCCATGGCTTGTACAGATACGACTTAGAGTTGCCCTTGAGTGCTGCAGGAGATCAAAGCCAAGGACCTTTAATGTTGGATCTATCAGATGTTTATTTGGACTTCCTGTAAACACTGTTCGGTTTTCCAAGCATCATCAGGGTTGAAGTCACATTGTTGAAGGTTAAGCGCATGGATCCAGAAGGGTTTGCATGACTTTAGCTCAGGGGTGGGCAATTATTTTGGGCAGAGGGCCACTTACTAAGTTTTGGCAAACCATCGAGGACTGCATGACAAGCAGCCAGGGGCAGTTAAATATTAATTTTCTAAATTTTTGAAGGGACCCGCAGGCCAGATAGAATGGCTTGGCGGGCTGCAACTGGCCCGCAGGCCACATTTTGCCCAGCCCTACTTATTCAATGGTGAGGGAGACTGTTGAGGTCCTGGTGGATGGGGAGACGTTTGTTTTCCTTAATTCACTGGACTTCCTGTAGAGTTGCTGCCTCATGACAAATGGGTAGAGAAGCAATGTGCAACAGCGAGGGCAGCCAAGGTGTCGAGGCTGACTTGAAGGTTCCAGTGATGCACCACACTGCAGAGTTTTAGATGGATGTCAATAAGCTGAGTGTGACTGCTTCTGGTCCATACTTCAAGGTACTCAGCTACACAGTATGCAAGGGCCAGCGCTGAAGTCCATAATACTGATGTTCCCCAGCTTGTGCTTGCCAATTTCTGCGTCAAATTGACCCTTACCTTCATCTCAGCAGCCACCTTCTTCAGGTGGCCGGGGAAAGTTAACATGCAATCCAGCCCCATTCCAAGATAAGACAGAGAGGGGTTGTGCAGCACAGTGTTGCCACAGAAAGTTACCTTCAGGGTATACTTAGCATTCTTGTTATCAAGATAGAATGCAGTTACTGTTGTTTTGTAGGGATTTGGCTTGAATCTCCATTTCCAAAAATATTCCTCCATAATGTTCAGGTCCTCAGTCAAAGTGCACTCAATGTCATTGTGTTGCCAAAGCAAGGTCAGATGCATATACAAATTTGAGCAACTCTGCTGATGGCATATCACTTGTGTATCCATTAAAGAGTACTGATGCGAGTACTGAGCCTTGTGGTAGTCCACTGCTGAAGAAGCAGGGCAAGCTGACTCAGTCATCCAGGTGCACAAACCTATTACTTAGCATTGTCCATATCAGGCATAGTATTTGGTGGCAGGGTATAATCTTTTCAAGCTTCAGTATCACACTTTTACTCCAGACCATGTCATAGGCTGATGACAGGTCTACAAAGCCTACACCGGTCTCAGATTTTTTTTCTGAAAACCAGCTTCAATATGCATTGCAAAGGCCAAAATTTAGACACAGCAATTTCGCTTAGGTTGGAATCCCACTTGTTCACTGGCGATCACTGGCTCAATACAAGGGCTGATTCTCCTGAGGATCATACATTCCAAGAGTCTGTTTCATAGTTTCTAGGGTCAGAAAGGACCTGAGCAGATCATCTAGTCCGACCCCCTGCCATGGCAGGAAATAGTACTGGGGTCAAACAACCCCAGCAAGGTGTTCAGCTAACCTCCTCTTAAAACCCCGCAGGATAGGAGCCTGCACCACTTCTCTTGGAAGTTGGTTCCAGACCCTAGGTGCCCTGACCATGACGTAGCACCTCCTGATATCTAGCCTAAACCTACCCTCTGCCAGCTTGTGACCATTATTCCTGGTCACTCCTGGCAGTGCTCGGGGGAACAGTGACTCCCCCAATGCCTGCTGATCCCCCCTGACTAGTTTATAACAGGCCACAAGATCCCCCCTCAGCCTTCTCTTTTGGAGGCTGAACAGGTTC